GCTGAAAGTGATTAAGCAATCACTGTATTTGACTTCCAGCATCACCGAGTTTCATCGGTGAAAGATGTACGGAGGAGGACGATGCGCCTCTTGCAGGGAGCGAGCGGCGGCAGGGGGCGGGCAGGGCATTGCTGCCACTCAGGGCACCCAATTCGGCTTGGCCCGTTCCACAGCCGCGGGAATACAGCATCAAGAGGCAGGGTTTTCTGGTTCGTGTGCTGTTTTTTGTGTTAGTGGGATGTACGCTTCTGAGCTTTGCACCGCAGCTGGCTGAGCTTGGCTGGGAATAGTTCTTTCCACTGAATTAATAAAAAATAATCTGGCACCAAGAAGCGGGCTTTAAGAGCAGTACCAAATATCATGGCAGTCTCATTAAAATCTCAGGCGATAGCAGTCCTGCAAATTGGAAGCAGCAGCCGTGGAAAATTTTAGCCAAGTGTTGGCATGGCACTTAAGCTTTATGTGATTCTCCAGGCCTTTAAGCCCCAACACCTTTGCTCCAGTGATATAAGACTTCCTTTTATTTTGTTAGTTCTAGCCCTAAGTAGGAGTTATTTAATGGGCAATAGTCATAATGTCACGGATATTACACTGCCGAGGCAACTTGGGAGCTCGTGTGACCTCCATCTGTGCTGGTGGCATGGATTTGACCCCCTTTTCCTGCTGCTTTTTGGATTTCCCTTTCTAATGCCTTAATGTCGAGTGAAGCCGGTGCATTATCGTCCCTAGCAAATGGTAGTGGTTGGGCAGCGTTCAGGTGCTGCAGGAGGAAATGAGCATATTGTCCTCAGAGCTCCTTGCAGAACTGAATAAAGATTTACAGGGCAAAAATAAAATGATGTAATGAACCTGACAGAAATGGGACCGTGACTGGAAGGTATGAAAAGACGGGAAAGGTGCAGCATTATTGGACTGATTGCGTGCGTTTAACAACCGGCAGATAAACCTGCTAAAGTCGACATTGGCTTTGGCAGCTGAAGACATTAGAAATACCCTGAGCACAGGTACTGTGTGACTGCTTATTAAGGCGTAAGTGAAAGATTGCTGTTTATACTACAGGAAGCTGGTTAAGTGATGTTGTAATATACAGGAAAAGAAAAAGTGGTAGCTTAAAAGCAAAAACCAAAACCCCCAAACAAACATTATTTCCCTTGGCTTGGGGTGAGAAACAGCTGTAGGATGTATTTCACACAGCTTCTAATGGGGAATTAATTGCAGTGAAAAAACAGACTGCCCAGGCCAAATTATGACACTTAGCACATTTTTTTCTTCTTACTTTTTAACAGGTAGCTTAAGGGTTTAAAGAATTTTTTCACACATTAATAGAGAGACCAGAAAGCTGATAGTTCAAGTTGATGCAATCTGGGCAAGGCTCAGAAAACCTAACTTACTACAGAAAAAAACACTTCTTCAACTAGATTTTGTGTTGCCAAGCACCCCCTACAGGCACATCTTTTTAAAAGGTAAACCCTGTCTTTTCGGAAGAGAGGCATGTCTTCCAGCAGCTCAGCTATGAGCTACCTTTTATGTCCTTTTAATTTCATTTGGCTTCCAGTTTAGCTCCATCTCAGTATGCAGAATATGTTCTGAATTTATTTCTGGATTTCTGAATTCAAATCATCATTTCCATCATCATTTCCAGACTCAGAAAAAATGAAACGCTTGTACAGTCGTGCAAATTGTTTTCGGTAATGATGGCTGGAACCTTGCAACGGCAGCTGAAAGTTGGGTCCTGAGGAACCCAGACGTGGATCTCTGCCCTCAGTCTTGATGCTGAGAACCTTACCTGGGCTGTGTTGGCGAACCCACGTTGTATGTTAACATAGAACTCCTTGAAAGAAGAGCAGTGGCTTTTCAATTGCAGCGAAGGAGCAGTAGGGTTTTACTGAAGTCACTTAAGAAACATATCATTTCTAGATCATGAAATATATTTCATTCTAGTATAAACAAATATACTAGAAGTGTGTAATCGGGTTTTGGTTTTTTTCAAAATTTCCTGATATTAAGGAAGCTTGCCGTTTTATCTGAACTAAAAAGACCATCCACACTATTATAGCCCTTTTGGCCAAACCACACAGGGTTTTAACTGAAATATATCAGTATAATAGATGTGAGTTATCATCACTCTGGCCTTTTTACTCACAGCATTGCTGTCTGGCCAAATGCTCCTTATAGACACATATACGTGACTTACCTAAATTGAAATGTCTAATTGAAAAATAGCAAGTAACATGAGAGTCAGCATGGGACTAGCATAGAAATGGTGCTGCAGCTGATGTGCTAAATTGCTGTTAATCGTTATAAAACATCCATGTCCCAACCTGCTAGCGAACTGGAGGGGATGGCTGCTGGACCACTGGGTGCTGATAACATGATAGTGTGCTCTTCGGTCCTTCTATTCATAGGGGTGGTGAACAAACAAACAAACAAAAAACCCCACTGGTTTGAAAAAAACTTCTGTTTTGCTATAGTGAAGTGTCAGTTTTCCACTAAAATGTTTAAAAGCTACGTGCTAACAATACAAAATTATGTTGATATTGTCTGTTCGGGGTTTAAAGAGGGGGCATATTCTGTGCTGCTGCATCCATTGGACTTTGATTAGGCTTTTCTGCATTACCTGAAGAATAAATGTAGTGGAATAAAAGGTATAATGCCTGGTGGGACATTCACGGTCCCATTCGTGTGGCAGGTTGCAGCCAGGGAGGCGAATTCAGAAACCACCCTTCCCCATCCAGCCCCAGGAGTGGCACTGTAGAAAAACCTCTCCCTAACGGGGTTGAGGGAAGGAGAGGGCAAAGGTAAAAGGAATTAGTGTCTGGACTCGGCTGCTGTAAAGTATCTCTTTATGCTGGCTTGAAGGTCAGTTGAGGCATGCAGGTGTTTCCTGGCAGAGTTCAGTCCATCACTGGCCATTGTAATTTGCCACAGCTAGAAGTTGAATGTATAGGAAATCTGTTTTCCTGTGAAGTCTGGCTAAGGTGTAGTAATACTTCTTCTTACAGCTATTTGAGTCAGAGAATGGGATCCCCAAAAAGTCATCCCTGCACAGAGCTCTCGGGCTGGAACTAGTTCTCTTCATTCTATTGTACTTGCAGGTAATTCATCATTTACTTACACAAAGTCGCAAAGGAGTTACTAGCTGTATCAACAACAGTCTCCAGAAGAGTGCTCAGGCATAGGAGTGCATAGCTGTTGCCATGTAGTGATGGAAATTAATTTTCAGTTAATGTAATGTACTCTTCCAGAGTTGGGCTTGTTCAGCCTGGAGAAGAGAAGGTTGCAGGGAGACCTTATAGCACCTTCCAGTACCTGAAGGGGCCAACAACAAAGCTGGGGGGACACGTTTTACAAGGGCCTGTAGTGACAGCACAAGGGGTAATGGGTTTAAATTGAAAGTGGGGAGGTTTAGATTGGACATCAGGAAGAAATTCTTCCTGGAGAGGGTGTTGAGGCACTGGAACAGGTTGCCCAGAGAAGCTGTGGATGCCTCATCCCTGGAAGTGTTCAAGGCCAGGCTGGATGAGGCTTTGAGCAACCTGGTCTAGTGGAAGGTGTCCCTGCCCATGGAAGGGGGCTGGAATTAGATGATCTAGTTCTATGAATCTATGATCTTTAATTTCCCTTCCAACGCAAACCATTCTATGCTTCTGTGATTCTAAAACCAGGTTTGCTTCCTTAAAAATCAACATTGAAAGTTGGTAGTGGGTGTGTTAGGCCAAACCAAAGCAATTTAAACTCATCACATTGACTTAACTGGGAGGAAGGGCTGACCAAGACTTGCTTCTTGGCACGGTCTGCCCGTTCACATACTGCAGTTTCCATTTGAAACCACTGAAGTATAAAGGTAGGCAATTGCTTGCCAGCCAAGAAATTAATACAAAACGTAAGAATTTCAGTGTGGTGTTTTAGCCTTATCTCTGAATCAGCTTTCATAGTTTCCAACTAAGTAAGTGTGTCTGGCCATAACCTGTTTATTTTCACCCCTGTAGTTAAACCTGGCCCCTGCTGTAAACCGAGGCAGTCCTTTGAGGTCACTGAGTGCCGCCGGCATAACCTCTTGTTGCCGTGTACTTGCGTGCAGGATGGGGCCTGGCCCTCCATGGGAGCTCCATCTCTGTTGCACCCAGCTATTTCAATTTTTGGAACTCAGGGTTGGGTTTTCACAAGCATCTCCATTTCAGCAGGGCACTCGCTTTGCGGCGACCCAGACAGCTCTGTTGAGACAGCTCCAGAGGAGACAGAAGCACAAGACGTGGAATCATCCGATGAAGCCGATAAGATGAGCAAGGTGAGAAAGTTTCATTTTCACATGACGAGGAGTGAAAGTGCGGTACAGTCGCAGCCGATGTGCCGGCTTCACAGCTGCACACGGTTAGAGCATCTTTCCTGGGGAAATGTTCATCTTACTTTTAAGGTGTTTACAGGTGATGTCGGGTGTACCAAGTTACATTACATTGATTACCTCACGTCACTGCCTCTTATGCAAGGACTTGTGTCCTTTTTCCAGGGTTGGCTCACATCTTCAGTATCTCGTGATAATATTCCCATGTACTTTTCAAATGGGCTGGTTTATCATCTCCTTCACCAGAGCAGGTCAGCTAAACTAAAACATCAGGTGGATTATTCAAGGCCAGGTTGGATGAGGCTTTGAGCAAACTGGTCTAGTGGAAGGTGTCCCTGCCCATGGCAGGGGGGTTGGCACTAGATGGTCTTTAGGGTCCCTTCCAACCCAAACCATTCTGTGATTATTATAATTTCTTATTCTTTCTTGATTTCTAGGCATAGGAGGGATGTAAGTTAAATAGTATTTCCTTAAATCAATAGCATAGTGCACATGCTAGTTTTTAAATGCAAACTAATTATAGCCAATCTACCTTAAATTGAAGCAAAACTCTCCAATTACAGCTAAGAGGTTGTGCAAATGGATTGCTAATTGCCATCTATTAAGGGATGGGTTTCCCAGTGGTTGGTAGTTTTCACTTGCCCTGGTGCTGGGCAGCTTTACGCAACAGTAGGTGTGACGATTAGTGACTTTTGAGGCAGAATCAAGTGAGATTATTTTAAAGACACTGATTGCTTTTAGGCGTTTGTTGCATAGGTGATGGTGAGAGCTTACAGCTATTTTTCTACAGAATTAATGATTTAATTGAGAATCAGATCTCACTCAGTTGGTGCTTTACGTACAGGTGTGTGTTTTCTCAGCTCTTGTTTTAACTAAAATGTGTTATAGTGAGCTCTGAGCTTGTCCCTGTGCTATTCTACTTGTCATTGTAGTGAAAGGAAGGAAAAGACCTCAGCCTCTTGTTTCCTGATCTCTTATGTCACACTAGGCTGTAGTTTTGTCTTTGATAGCCAGAGTGGAAGTCAGATAAGAGAAAACATTCCTACGTATGAAATGTGTGCAGAGCAGAGAAGGTGATTACTTGCAGAGTTTGTTTCCTGGTTTTATGACAGAACTTTTTCTTGTAAGTACACAAAATTTCTTCTCCAGTAAGTGGAAGCGTTTGTTGATACTTTGGGGTTTTTAACTGTAAATGTGTGGGATTTCATACGCTCTGACAAGAGACTCTCCTGTTAAACACTGAAGCCGTGGAAGAGTACCGAGCATAACGCATAACTGCTTGGGGAATAAAGGGTCACGCTGTGTTTTCCATAGCTTTCTATTTCTGAACTGTGCGACAGGCTGTGGGGTTCCGTTTTGCATCTTGCCTCCTGGATCTTCAGACCTTTAATTGCCTGCAGCAAGGCGTGAGGATTACGTGATTAGCCCTGTGGCTCAGCAGATTTAGTTAAACTGAGAAACGTGCATTAGCAGCTCTGATGCTTAATATTTGTATATTGGAAGGGTAACTCCTCACTCTTAACTGGTTTCCAATGAGAGGAAAATCTGTCTTTCTGTAAATTAAATGTTGACATTGGTACATGTTTTCTTTTAAAATTCAGAAATATGTCTTGCTTTGTTTGTGTGGTATAGAGGGAGTACTTTGTTATGGGACAAACTGCCTGAAGCGGCCTTCCGTAAAAAAGAAGGACGCGTGTACATACAGTATATATATGGAGTGCTCAGTTTGGCACGCTCATGGATGCTGCTCTCCCTGTTGGCATAGAGGAGCTCTGTATTAGACCGGGCTTTCTTTGTGGGTCCTCTCTAACAGAAGTCATAGAAACCCCCAAATTATTCTGCAGGGCCTATAGGGAATTCCAGTATATGGTAGAGGGGAGGAAAAAGGTCTTGATCAACGGGGAGGGTTTTCCTAATCCCTTTGCTTCTCTGGGTGCTTGGGAAAGCTGATCTGCGCGGGGAGCAAGAAGTCTGCAACATGTGTTTTTTTTCCATGGAAAACCACCAGTATGGTGAGGAAAAAAGCCAAGGTGTTTTCCTGTCTACGCGCTGCCACACCTTTACATGCTCCGAGGATTATGGCACAGGTTAAGCCGATGTCCTCAGCGCCGTTTGACACGGGTTATTTTTGTCCATGGGAAAGGAAGCGCTCTGTCCCCATACCAGCAGGAGGGGCACGTTTCCTTGCATCGCTGTTGCTGCCTCAGCTTCCCCTCTCCCTCGGATGGTGGGATTCAGGGGAGGCTGTATTTTCTGCCCCTCTTGGCTAAAGCAGGGCAGGAGCACTCTTACCCATTCACCGCTGGGCAGCGGAGGAAATGCATCCTGACTACGCCGGAGCCTCCCCGGGACATGCAGAGTTCCCCTTCTTTCAGCGCAGATGCAGCATTAGCCACCCAAGAGCCAAAAATAGCATTTGGGTTGCCTTTTGCCTTGCGATAGCATGATCCCGCGGCAGGGCTTCATCCTGCAAACGCCACCGCTCCACGCCACAGTGCTGGTGCTCTGCTGATGCCCGCAGAGCACTGCGGAGGAGGAGAGCTCCAAGCTTCTCTGGAGAAACTTCCCAGCTCTGCAGCCAGCAAAACGATCCTAGGGGAGAGTTAATAATTCATGGGAAAAGGAGAGGAACGCGGTGCTGCAGCTCTCCTTCATCCGCTCTTGTAGGGCGAGCTGAGTAGGCTTTTTAAGAAGGTAAGTTGTGTGAAATCCTACCAAAAGGTGGGCTGGGGTTCCTTCTGACTTACCTGTAATTTTATCACGTAGGTGGGAAGCGGATATATAACACAGGCGGTACTCGAATGTGTCTTCCCTTCTCCTCCTCCCTCCCAGCTGTCTCGTTCCCTTCCCCCAGCCCGGCATGTGTGCACGTGGGTGTGTGTTTCCTTAGTAGTGGTGCATTTGTTTCTTGATCTGCAAAAACCTCCAAGCTGTTGATGGTGGTGAAGGATTTGGGAGGGTACACCAGTAGCTCTGAGGATTCCTCCCTTTTCTGAAAATCTTAACCTTCTGTGTATCCTAAAGACCTGATAGAGTGGAGTTTACTTCTCCACCATTATTGTCAAAGGAATCATTATTATAATAAGCAAAAATGGGACATCTTAAGACTATTCCAATAAAATACTAAAAACCCATTTCCAAGGCGGCTTGAGACATCCGCAGTGCAGTGGTGCGGGACAACTGTTGTGCTTTGGACTTGCTCCCTGTCTGATTTCATGGTGCCTTTCCGGTGTCAACCAGCCCGCTTCCATACAGCATCTCTTGGGTTGAAATCTGTGTAAACAAAGCAAGCAGGAACGCTTTCTGGGTGCAGCTCTTCCTTGGAGCCATGCAACCAGCAGTGGCCTGAGTCTTGCTCCCAGTTGCTTCTGCTCTGGGCTGGGCTCCTGACTTTCCCTTCTTTCCTCACTTTGTGTGGGAGCCAAGAGGAAGAGAGTGGGGGAAAGGAAAGCCTGCTCTCTGACATCTTTTTGGGCTTGTGAGTTCAGGTTTCAGGCTGTTTATGAAATGTAGATGATGCCCCTCTGTCAGCCTTCAGTTCGACAGAATATCGGGAACGTTTTGTACCAGAGTAATTCCTTAAATGGCTACTTGCCTCTGTGGTGACCTGGCTGTTGGGGCCTTTTAAATATCATCGAATAAATTGAGGTTCAAAGGAGGTACCCCGAAAGCTGGTTGCATGTGCGAGTGCTTAGTGTGGCAGGTTACCAAAGGCTAACACAGGTGTTGTGTTGCATCTTGAGATCAGTCTCTGTGCTTGTTTTTTCCTGCAATGGTCCTTAGCGTTTGACTGGGAGTGTGTTTTAAAAGCGGTCATCGGTTAAGATACTGCAGGACATTCATTTCTCCCTGTTTCTAATTAAAGACATCTGCCTCTTGAAATGAAAGCTCATTACCTGGCAGCACTTGTGCTTAGGAGAGCAGGCTGTAACGGGCTGTGTGTGTACATGCTTCCACCATGCAGAGGTATTTCTTCAGAGAAAATAGGTCGTCTTTTCTCTGCAGCCTTATTCCAGACCAGAATTAAGTCTCAAAACCTTCAACGTGTCGCAATAGACGTGAAAGGATTAAAACAGGGATTTGAGGGGTAGGTTTTCCAGTAGCGTAACAGGCTTTTTTAAGTTCTTTTAATTCTGTGCCTCTGTCCCTTCAGATGTTTAATATTCTTCGGCAGTGCCGTTCGTAGCCAATCGGCTCGTGCTCAGCCACAGGCAACAGACATTTATATTCCCAGGCTGCCTTCACCTCTGCTTTGCTGCATTTCAGCCTCTCTGGTGAAGTTTTCCTCTTAACGAGTCTATGAAAAACAGCGTTGAGTTCTCAGCTTTGCCTGGTAGCCGGCTCTTAATTCCAGCTGAAGTGGTGAGCAAATGACACACGCGGAAAGGCTTTGCTTAGAGGAATATGGTCACTGCCCTTCCTTACTAAAATGCAGGCGTCATCTGTGTTATGTGCCAAGTAAGCAACACGGAGTATCTGTCGGGAGTGGGAAAGCCTTTCGGATCAGCTGAGTATGTGGAGAACTGGGATTTTCCTCCTAGCTGAGTGACAGTTCTGGCAATACTGTCTTCCCAGCGATGTCGGCTCTTTGGAGAGTTAACCGTAAGCTCAAGAACGAAAGCGCTGGGAGGGCCGGCGACTCTCTGTACCGTATGCTGTATTTGGTGAGCAGATCTACTGTGCAAAGTGACTAGTCTAAGTAACTAGCAGTTGAAGGAATTTTCATGCTGTTTTAATTTTCAGGTTATAAATCGGAGGCTGAGCTGTATCGTATATACCCTGTAGAGGCTGTTTGCTATTGTGCAGTGTCATTAGCAGTCCTGGCGGTGCATGAAAGGATGCAATTTGCCTGCGTTTTGTTTGGGAGATCAATCCCACCTGGAGTTTGCCCTCCGCGGCGGAACAGAGGTGCTGCGTGCCATTCGGGGGGGGGCGCTCTGCCTGATGCCCAGGCACCCGTGTATCTTTATATGGAGAGCGCAAGGGAAAGGCACTCGGCTATAGGGCAGGCAGTCCCCCCACTGTGGGCAGCATCTACGTGCTTGGTGAATGTAAGGACTCATCCCTCCTGCATGGGAAGGCTGTGAGCTTAGCTCCCCTGTTGATCCCCCTGCAGAGGAGGGGTTAATACTTGCAAAGCAGACTTGGCTTTACAGCCCAGTTGTGCCAGCCCTCCATCTCATTTTAAGGCTGCTAGTTGGGTTTGCTTGCAGAATTGTGCCCAGAGTTTGATGTCATAATTCTAGAGAAATCCCGGTTCAGTGCTATCTGTGTTGCAGCTGGCAAACAGAGCTGGTGCTGGGAGATAAAAGGATCTGTTTCAGACCTCTATCCACTTTCTCTAGGAAAATGGGGACAGAGAGGCTTTTGTTAATGCCATTCAAGAGTTTTCAGCAAGATAGCTGTGCTCTGAACATCCCTGGGTGCAATATTCATCTGCTTTTTGTCTAGAAATTGTGGGGTTTTTAGCTAAATACAAGGTAGAAAGGATTACATTCAGGAACGAAACAAGACAGTGTGTTCAGTGAACAAGCAAGAAAACAGGTCCATGAACATTATTGCGCCTGAGACTTTTTGTCTGTCTGAAGAGTATCAGGTGAATGACACTTGGGAATTAGGTAAAGGATGTGCGGCCGGGCAGCGGCGAGGCAGAGCTGGGTGGCTCCTGCCTGGAGCTGGGCATGGCGGAGGTCAGCGAGCGATTTGTGAAGTGTGCACAAGTGCAGATAAGGCTTTTTAACGTTGTCTACGCTTCCTTTTTGGCATATGGCTGTAACTATTCCTTCTGGGGCACACAGTGTGCCTGTGTGACGGCTACCCAATTTCCAGCTACTTGTTAGTGTTTAACTGGTGTTTGTTTCATGGTGTAAGTGGATTTTCAGTCTCTCTTTCTGGGTGACCCATCTTTCCCCGCAAGGTATTGCAAGTTAATGCACAGGGCGGCGAGCTGTCTGCAGGGTGTCAAGCATGAACTGCTGGAAACCCTGGGTCTATTTTTGGAGTTTGATCTATAGAATGTTTTATACGTTGTAACTATTTCTAAATGTATAGTTGGTTCATACAACAAAATGTCACTGGATATGTCTTTCTCAAATATTCTGTCAGGAAATAATTTTAACAAAGCTAAATGTGTGTGAGGAAAGTCCTGCCTATTCTCTCTCTCTGCAGGCTCAGATTAACATTTATTAATTGTCAGTTCTTTGTCCCTTTCCAGCAGAGCAGGTAACTTGGGCAGGTTTTTTGCTTGCACTGGAGCCGGACTTTCACCTACTGTGCTTTGTGGATTTGGGACTGTTGGGATCAGAATGGCACCCGCTGAAATCTAATGCAAACTTAACCTTAAAGTTTGTTTGGGTATACTTAAGAGTACAGCAATTGTAGGTGAAGCCTTGCAGAGAAATAAAAGGAATTGTTTTCACTAATAAATAAATCCAACTGCGTGACACATGCTATTACCAGAAGCTGAGCTGGTTGGAAATGGATTGGGAGCTAGTTGGAAATGGACTGGTTCAACTCACTGCTTCCCCCTGCCCTCAATTTACAACATTTCTCCTTTCTTCTTTGTCTGAGTTAAACTTCAGACACTGAAGATGAATATTTTTTCCTGTAATAAACTGTGTCCATAAGGCATTTTGTGTAAGCATCAGTTACAATTAATTCATTGCTTACATTTCTGTCCTGAAGAAAATTATCCTTTGCATAACAAGCATCTTTACTAACATGCCTGGCAGCAGTACACTCAGGTGAGCTGTTGCAGCCATAAAATACCTCTAGGGAAAGCCACTGTATTATGGACGGAAATCTCTTACTTATCACTAGCCTGGCTAATACTCCTCATGGTCTTCGTGGCTGTGTGGCACTGTAGATGCACTGAGAGACGAAAACAGCCGTGTGTGAGCAGCTTAAAAAATGCGGAGACTTTTCAGCATGGGGTCATCGTGAGGGTGCGGGGTTGTGCAGGCTCTGAGTGATGATGTCCTTGCTACCAGCTGGTGGGAGTGCAGTGACCTCCTGGGGAGCAGGGTGCTGTCTCCAAATTGCAGGCTGGTGTGCTTTATTATTTCCTTCTCTTCCCCCTCCCCCACATATACTCTCTGTTTGCACAGGCTAATTTTGGGTAAGTTGGTTTAGTATGGACTGGGGGGATACAGAGGCACTGCTGGGGAGTTTCTAAATCTGGACTAAGATACCATGGCAGGATTAGACCCAGCAGGTTAGAGAGGTGTGATCAAGTACAGCAGCTCTTTTCCCTCCCATGGCCTCTCCAGATCTCTGGGAGGGATGGAGACAGGGCACACTGCTGCTGTGGCAACCCTAGAAGCCTGGGGCTGTCGTCACTGACACCAGAGACGGTACCTGCTCCAAGCTTTTCAGCATAACGAAAGATGTGAGAAGATGATCTAACGTGAGGAGGTGAAGAGAGGATAACTGTCTATATATATAGACAGCTGATTAAACATTAAAGAAACCAGCTAGATGCAGCAGCTCTGAAAAACCTGACTTATGGGGAAGAAATTCACCCCGCACGGCATGTTTCCAGGCACCGAACGGATACACAGTTAGTTTCCCAAAGAGCTTGCATTTGAAGCCTGGGAGGCTTTGGTTCCCCAGATGGCTCTGCTTCCCTGAAAAACAGCCTAAGCAGTTTCTGTCTCCACGCTGTCTCCTTGGCTGCGTTGACACATGGCTGCTGTAAACTAGATTAAGGAACTGGCAGAGGGCTGGGGTGTGTGTTTTGTTTGCACTGTCTTTTTTGGTTCCTGATTCTTGGGCCTTTGTTTGGTTGGTTTTCAAGCTCAAGTGCCAGAGGAGCCTATTTTAACTGAAATTCATATTTTTTTTAATGTTACAGAACAGCACTTTGACTAACTTGAGTTGTGCATCTCTTCCCTCACCTCCCACCTTATCCCCAGTCACTGAGAGACGGGAAAGACCGATACATGAAATGATATGTGGACTTCTGGACTCTGGTAGCTGCTAAAAAGCCCCCAGGCTGCAACTGCTTAAATGCAAAGGCTTCTCAGCTCCATCGTGCCTGTAGCTCTTACGTAAAATATTACCGCTGGTCTTTCCTTTTCCTTCTTTTTCAAAGAGCACAGAGCAGGTCACTGCTTTCTGTCGCAGTCTGCATGAAATGAACCCTTCTGACTCAAGTGCTCATCCTCAGGAATTTACGGGACCCCAGCTGGCCACCATGAGACAGCTCACGGACGCAGATAAACTGCGCAAGGTGATCTGTGAACTTCTGGAGACAGAACGCACCTACGTCAAAGTAAGGGGTCGCGATCTGCTGTTTCGCTCTGCTGATGCTTCTCCTTCTCCTGGAAAATGTTGTTAGTTTCTTCTCTAATGCTGCAAATTGTTTCGTGCATGTACCTCTTCGTTAACTTGCATTCAGTTCTACAAGAGTAGTGACTTAAACCCCTGAAATAAGTAGGCTTTCCAAATTCCTGTGCTGTTGTTTTGCTATTATTTGGCTGGTGTGCAGAGGGACACTGCTCAGTGAGATCCAGTACTGATTTTGTAAGTGAAACTGTGTAAAGGTTTCCTTTTTCTGTCTTAAATTGCGTGAAATCCAACTATTTAGCTTCTGCATGAAAGTGAAAACTTCAGACTAGGTGAATGGTGATCTTTGCCGCTTCAGTAAATATTCAGAGGCAGTTTGAGGAACCAACATGGGAATCTTTTTCTGAATTTTTAGGACTTAAATTGTCTAATGGAGAGATACCTGAAGCCTCTACAAAAAGAAACATTCCTCACACCAGATGAGGTATGGTAACTGTTGCTTATCCTTTTGCTTTTTTTTCCCCCCCCCCCCCCCCCCCAGCTTCACTTGCTTGTCAGAGCAAGGGCTATCAAATTTTGAATTCCCTTTATTTTAAAATAATGGCTGGAGTAGAATATAAAGGTACTCCTCAGTAATGTATAGTCTGTAGTTTGTTTTCTTGACATCACACTGATTATACAATTGGACTGAGAATTACTGAAGCTCTAGAAAATGTGGTTTAGCCTCAAGGTGGTATTTTCAGCATCTTGCTTTTTTTCTCTTACTAGCTGGATGTTCTCTTTGGGAATCTGACTGAAATGGTAGCGTTCCAGGTAGAGTTCTTGAAAACGCTTGAAGATGGAGTGAGGCTGGTTCCAGACCTGGAGAAACTTGAAAAAGTTGAGCAATTTAAGGTAATCTCACTGTGTTCTGAGTTGTCCTTTAACATTCTTTATCCTATTTGTCTACTGTCAGTGTTCATGTAAAAACCTGCATCTGATTACACTTGAGATTAATTGATGGCTAATGCTGGAATTGTTTGGAAAACATCGTGCTACAATTGTAGTTTATGCTACATTTAGCCATACAGAGTACTAGAAATCTGTAACGCCATGTGCTTTTAGATTCTATTCTTGCCCTTCTGCCAGATTTCTTGTCTTGGGCTGTCAGGAAAAGCTAGAAATGGAAAGTTACGTAAAGTCTTTGTTCTGGCAAGCCTAATGCAGTAGTTCAGAAGCCCACTAGGAACTGTTAATTGAATTCTGTATTTGTTTTTTTGATGCACAGAGGAAGTAGATGGCGAATACTCTGAACTATCAGCAGATGTGCATCAAAGGTAGAAATGTAAAGATAAACAAACTTAATTACAAAAAAAAATTAGGAAAATGTGGAAACAGAAACACTGTTTTATTTCTAATGCAGTGATGTGCTGGATATGTGGCAAGTAGCTAATACAGTGGTTAGCCTTTGGGGAATCTTACTCTTGCTTTGAGCACTCACCTTGCTAGAGGACAGGATGCCTTGATGAATAATAATAATTCCACTGGGTTTGCTCTTCAGGTAACATACAGCCCTGGAAGAACTGCTGAAAGAAGTTGTCTTTTTGCATGTGTGTGGCTTTGCCACCGGGTGCTTGTTTAAAATAAGCAGCAATCATGAACGCTGCCCTCACGTAACTGGAACACAGCTTTTGTTTGGTAGGAAATGTGCCCTGAATGGAGGGCACAGAGATATCGATTTTTAAGTGGAGGAAGCTTCTGTGACCACTGTGTGCCTGGAGCTTTAAGGGAGGAGTGTGGAAGAAGCCTCCTTATGGACAGAACTCTCAGTCTTCTGGGCGCTGCTGTTTCTACCTCTTTCCATAAAATGTGCATCAACTTCACTTTCAGTTCTGTCCTACGGGCATGGTCTGAAAGCAGTGTGCACAACGGGACTTCAGGGCTTCACAGTTTCAGTTCTGCAGTTTGCTTTCCTCTGCTGACTGTAGCAAACTGCCGAGGCGTTGTCTCACGGACACACCGCCACCACCCCTTTCCCCCGTGTTGTCTGTTCCGAAGTGGCTAGCGGAGCAACCGCTTGACCATGGCATAGACCTCTGGGGGAAAGATCGTGTTTGGCCCTTAACACAAACTCATTTTCAAGAGAGCAAAGTCCTTGGTGTGTTTGTGCTTGCAGGCCCTTTGTGTCTTGATCCGTTACGAAGTCATATACATCCCGTCCTTCCTGTGGCCTCTGGTCATTACTTGGATCGATCAGGTTTTAAGCTCAGGCGTTTATGTACAGCTCTGGAGCTGTGAACCTACTTCCCTGTATAGTCAGTGGTGTCTGCAGGTTGTCCTAACAGGAACCTGGCTAATGATGTTTGTCACATAGCCCGAATCCAAGCACCAAGGCTAGACCTGTTTCTTTCTAGGTGGTGTGAAAATGCTGCAAAAATGCAGCGTCCTCTCATCTTGGAGCTAAAGGGAAACTTCAGGTGACCTGGAAGAAGGGAAAATAACTAATAGGCAATTGCCTTTCATGTCCTGTTTTTATTAATGCCTTTTTTTTTTTTTTAAATTCTAGAAAGTGCTGTTTTCCTTGGGTGGTTCCTTTCTTTACTACGCCGACCGGTTCAAGCTGTACAGTGCCTTCTGTGCCAGCCACACGAAAGTCCCCAAAGTACTGGTGAAAGGTAAGAGCCGTGTGCTGGACAACCAGACCCGGGTGTGCAGGGGGAGACGTCGCAGCGATGCGTTGGCTTGGGCTGGCGCAGGTTGTCTCTGTGGATGATGAGAGGTGGCCGCTGTACCCCAAACCGTGCAGGACAGGTTGTGGTGGAGGAACAGGGGCACACGCCTGGCTGGTTGCTCTCCAGGAGCCTTCGCAGTGGGGAAGTAAGTCCACTTGGCCTGAGAGGCTTGCAGGCTGCTTCGTGCTATGGGTGTTCTTGGACCACCATCAGTGTAATGATACCCGAGTAGCTCATTACAAGAGGCTGTTAACCTCGCATGTAGTTTTTCTCCCCACACACTTAATTTATTCTCCCCTGACATGTTCATTTTCTCTTCAGTCACGTGGGAAGTGGAAAGATTTCATAAATGGGCCATGTGGCGTGCGCTAACGGATCACTGTGTACTTTGGAACCAGGAGCGGTGATGCTTGTAATGACCTCTGGATTGTCCTGGAGTTTGTGCCGTGAATCCTTGCTAATGGCAGTCCCACTGAAGCTCAGGCCAATGTGGTTGAACGCTGAGAGCCACTAGGAAGGGATCAGCCTGGGAGAATGTTTTATGGAAGCTGTCTAAATGTTTTAACTTCACTGTGCTCTCTCTACCCCCTCTCTTCCTCCTCTCGCTGTTGTTCCAATTTGCCTGAAAAGTTTCCATTTACAAATTCCTTGTGTTCCAACCTTGGCTTGCTGAGACAGAGATAAATGGACTGTGGTCTGGCTTATAAATGCTCATAGGCCTCCTTGCCTTGGAGTGATGTTTTTTTCCCCTGTGGAAGTGTTAATCTCTTAGAGTTAGCAGAGCTTCATGCAATTCATTTTTGGCCAAGACGTTAAATAAACAAATGGATCCAGTTGTAGGAGAAATGCCATTAAAGGAGGAGCTCTTATTTTTCAAAGAATATCTGGATGGCTGACTGTCGAAAGTTTTGGGGTTTTTTGTTTCTTAGTTGGTTGGTTTGGTTTTGGTTTGGTTTTTTTTGCTGTGCACATTTCTTTTTTTCCCCATTTCTATTTGTAAACTCTTATTTACCGTGCTGCAAAAAGTACTTGGCAGCTCTGTGGGATACATGAATAAGCGATTTGTTGCTAGTCACATTCATGCTTGCTTTTGGCATCGTTTTGTTAGACCTTAATGTTAAGGCCATAGACAAGGTAGATCTGGCTGTTTTGTTTTGCTTTTTCATTGCTGACTGTATTTTTAAATGACAAATAGTTGTGCTTGAATTGTCGCACAAACAGAATTTAAAATTTAGTTCCGGAGATAAATCTCTTAAAAAGCCTGGGGACGGATTTGAAATAAATTCGGTGTCCTCAGCTGAGGTGCAGGTGGCTTTTTGGATTTGAAACTGAAGTTGCTTTATTGAAATCAGGTGACTGTCTGCAAAAAATCCACCCAGCCTCGGCAGGGAACATGGCTCTAATAAAAGCAATTGTGTGGGATTGTTCCTGCACTGAATAACTTCTGTTTCTAAAAGTGCCACCTTCTCCATACTTCCCTCCCTGTACAAATTTATGTTCTAGTAGAGGGAGCAACAGAGAAGATGGTATTTTTATGAATGCGGTAGCAGTCACGTAGAAAAGATGACAGCAGTCAGGTGTCCAGCCTGCCTGTGCTCCCAAAATATGGTTTACTGCTTCCTGCCTCCATACTAGCTCTTGGTTGTTGTTGTTCAGTACTGGATTTTAAGGTTTAATGAGGCAACTATAACCAGACTTGCCGATATTTATAGGCGTGCCTGTCAGACTAGACTCCTGAGTAGCAAATTCTTACAAATATCCAATTTGAGCCTTTTCTTAAAGATGATGAAAATAATTTATGCTGCTCTAAAATAGTTGCAAGGCCAGAAATACTGTGGATAGTGAAATGAAAAATTGCATATATTGGTATGGTAGGTGGGTGCCTGATGTTAGATCATAAATACCATTATCTGTGGCAAAGTGTCAGTAACTTGAAACCTGAAGTGCATAAATCTAATACTGTGGACCCAATAAATCTGTACTTCCTTGCAAAATGTCTCTGGATAAATGAATTTAAAGCTGGAAGAGTCACTTTATCAGGGCAGCTGTTATGATTTTTGATTTATCCAATTGCTTCATTTTAATCTTCCAGCCAAGACAGACACTGCTTTCAAGGCATTTCTGGATGCTCAGAATCCCCGACGGCAGCACTCCTCCACGCTGGAGTCTTACCTCATCAAACTCGCCTGCTGAAGGAGCTCTTTGCTCTGACTGACGTAGACAGTGAAGAACACTATCACCTTGATGGTAAGCAGCTCACCTATGTTGCTCTTCCCTGTTTAACCTCTGGTCTGGAATCCTGCCCCTTTCTCTCATAGGCTTAAAAATACCTTTTGTCTCTTCCTCTGTGTCTCTCTCTTCTAGTGGCCATAAAAACCATGAACACCTGCTGAAGGAGCTCTTTGCTCTGACTGACGTAGACAGTGAAGAACACTATCACCTTGATGGTAAGCAGCTCACCTATGTTGCTCTTCCCTGTTTAACCTCTGGTCTGGAATCCTGCCCCTTTCTCTCATAGGCTTAAAAATACCTTTTGTCTCTTCCTCTGTGTCTCTCTCTTCTAGTGGCCATAAAAACCATGAACAAAGTTGCCAGCCACATTAATGAAATGCAGAAAATCCATGAAGAATATGGGGCAGTGTTTGACCAACTAATAGCAGAACAAACAGGGGAGAAAAAAGAGGTAACATGATGAAATTTAAGAGAACAAGGCTGTTATTTTGGTGCCTGCAGCGTGAATGTTAAATCCTGTCAACTATTTACCTGTCGTGCCGTGTCATTGAAGTGGATCCCGGTGCAAACAGATAAATCCCAATCCAATTCAAAACCTGCTTTTCCATGTAGGGTTCAGTGAGTGGGACCAATGTAAGGCAGTAGTGGGTTAGTTCACCTTCAGTGTTGTGCTTTGGTCAGAATTGCACCCCAGCCTGCAGCTCGCTATTCGGAGGTCCGTGTCTTGGCTCTCCTCGTTCCACATAAATAATATCGCCCCAGCAGTCTGAGTGGACTGGCATGCCGAGGCAAGCCTGTACTTAGCTTGTTGTTCACTTTAATTCAGCGATCAACATGTGAGGTGCGGTGTGTGAGAGCTGCTGCTTCTCTTCTAGAAAGTGTGTTAGCGGGCTTGATTACATGAGAGCGCCTCGGGCTTCGCTCTAGATGTCTCATATGGCGCATATGCAAACATGTGCAGATGCAGTGTGGCTCAGTCCTGGCTGACCATCTCGGAAACCCATGGAAGGTGTCTTGAAGTTTCAGACCAAGACCTGGACTCTCCATTTAACGATAAAACATTGGGCTGCAGTCCAGCGGCGCAGTGACGGAGAGTGGTGAGCAGCAAGGGGTGAGGCAGGTAGGGAGAAAGATGGACAAAAAAGCAAAAATTGCAAGGAAAACATCTGGGATTTGCCCTGACTTCCCACCAGATTCTGAGAGCTGGGGTCCAAGTTTGACTTCTCCTAATTCATGCTCACCAAGTAAGGATTTACGTGTGCCTGTTGCCAGCTGTCACAGTCTGTTTACACGCATTTGCAGTCATCTGATTCAATATTCCGAAAGTTTGCTTGTAGGGTGTTTGTTTGCGTAAGAATAAAGTTCAAGCAAGTGGTCTTGAACCAAAAATTAAAGTAAGTTTTTTCTTGAACTGGTTACACATCGTGTCTTTGTGCACGTGTTTGTGTTGGCAGGTTGCAGACCTTTCAATGGGCGACTTGCTCTTGCATAATACGGTGATATGGCTGAACCCTCCTGCTTCACTGGGGAAATGGAAGAAGGAACCTGAGCTGGCAGCATTTGGTTTGTACCCTAGTAATTTTATTTCGGATGCCTAAAAGACCGCCAGCTGTGCCTTAGCAGATATTTGTTGAAGGTAGTTGAGCATTGCCTTCCGCAAAATTGGCTGGAACCTAAAACCATATTTGTCTTTTCTGCAATGGTCAAATTCTGTTCTGTGTTGATCTAAATCTGGTGAAGAATTTGAAGATGGCTGCTGTAATAGTGCAAGGGTTTCTTAAACCCACATCCAAGGATATGAAGTGAGAGCTGTACAGAAAGGTACTTGTCTCGGAAAAGATGCGGTTTGGTAGGCTGATGAATGCCAAGTACCTCTACTTCATATCCTGTAGGATGGGGCTGGGGGCTTGATGAAGCTTTGCCTTTTTGCCAGCAAGGACTTGTATGTGTGAGCTTTACAAAGTGCTTCAAAGCTAAGCCAGGACTCCCAGTGAGCTGCTTTGGAGTGGTCTGTCTCCCTCAGAGTAGTCTATCTTGGGTGGCCAAATTAGAATTGAAACTGCTGTTGGCATAAATCTCAATATCTTTCCACTGTATTGAAGTATGGTCCCTCGGAAAGGGACATGATTGCTTATGTTGGCTGAGTCATGTCTCTTACTTTCAGAATTATATCAAGTTATGCAGAGTGTGCTAAGTTTTCTTTAATTGTTCCTAAATTTCTTTACATGCAACGGGCTTTTTCCTTCTTGTTTTCAGAAAGTGGTGCTGGTTCAGAAGCCATTGATTTTTGTTTTTGTTTATATCTCTACCAAACAGATAACGAGTGAAGACTCTTTCAGCTTTGCTCTGGAAGAGCATATAAAATTGACTGCTTTCCTGGAAGTTGGGAAAGCACCTGGTCATACCGTGAAGCTGAGGTGCCTCATGAAAGCTGCTAGGAATGTGCAGCAACTCCTGATTACTACAAAAAGCTTTAAATTGGTTTCATAAAATGTCCAAAATTAAGTGTTCATACAATTCAATCCTAAAACAAAGGGTGCGCTTTAGGCCTGAAAAGAAAGATCATAAGGAAAACTGGAACCTTGAAAGACAAATTTCCAGCTCTGTGTGGTTGTTATGTGGCAAAAGAGGAATTGGATCCCACCTCTGCCTGCCAGTGGTGCTCACTTGAATTCAGCACAGACCGCTGTCCCTCCCTGGAGGGGTTCGGGCTCTGCCCAGGCGCAGTCTCAGCCGCTTGACTGGCTGTGGGTGGCTGGCAGCCGCTCGTTTGTCTGAGGGAAACTCAGCCAGCAGGATTAAAGCTTTCTAAGTTTTTGTGCAGAACTGTTGTTGCTGGAATAGTTGTTCCAATAACTGGTAACTTAAACTCTTATGTTTCAAGTGACTTTGACATAACCTGGCTTTGTGTACTAGAAGCGGTTGAGCTTGGTGTTTTTGAGAAGACTGTGCAAGGGGAGTGGTTGGTTTACTCCTGGCTTGGGTGAGGGCTGAAAGCTCTGTGTGCCCGGGTGTAGAGCGGACACGTTCCCAACCTTACTGACTCCCTGGCTTTTGTTTCTTTCTCCTCTAGTGTTCAAAACAGCTGTGGTCCTTGTGTACAAGGATGGTTCCAAACAGAAGAAGAAACTTGTAAGTTGCACGTACTATTTCGGTGATGCTGTGCGCATTGGTGGTGCTACAGGCAAGATTTGCTTTCCATAAAGCTGTGGTGCTAGGGTGTCCTTTCGCATACATGATTCTTGTTCTCTGCCACGCATCTGAGTTTTGAGTAATGCCAAACGACCTGCTGTTCGGCCCGGGTGCAGCACTCTGCAAGCATCTGTTTACCTTATCCTTTGCTCTCTGCTGGACTAGTCATTCCTGTGGCTGCCACATCCGTTCCACGCTATGGAGTGGACTTCCGTGAAACAAGGTGTCACCCTGAACGTCTCCCCTGTGTTTGGCTCTTGGATCAGTGTGTGTGAATCGAATATGAGAGCTGATGCCTGTCAACTTTCCCAGTGAAACACAACACCCTCGCTTCGGTTGTGGCTGTTGCATGCCACTGAGCAAGTGCTGCCTGCTCTCAGCTAAATTAGGTGTGCTTGCAGTTCGTATCGGGGAGTTTGGGATTAAAACTTAAAGCTAAGCTTGACAGTAAACGTGCCTTGCTGCAGTAGGGGCCACTGTTTATAGTATTACAGGACATTCTGGCATATGGCATAAACCAAAGTCTGGTTTGAAATGCCTGTATGGCTGTTTCCTTAAGCGAGCTGCCCACAAAACCACTTGGGAGTGACTAAGGCAAAACTTACACGTGTTTGAGTGTGTGTGTGCGTGGAGGAGAGAATGCAGCATTGGTCTCAAACGACTTCTGAAGTTGGCGATAACAGTCAATTAGCGTAATGGTTGCTTTTGTCTGGAATTCAGCAAGACCTTCATAGATAGGCACATCAGTGAAGCTGGTTACCAAAACGTTGTAGTGAGAGAATAGGAATTGCAGGAAGTTCTTAGCTGGATATTCTCACTGCAAAGCAAAGGAGACTTCTGTGTCTCACCCTCCCAAGGTGTCTCATTTCCTAACGGTATTTTGAAATTCTTCCAGGGAGGATCACATAGAGCTTCAATTTATGAAGACTGGGATCCGTTCCGCTTTCGCCACATGATACCTTTAGAAGCACTGCAGGTTCGAGCGTTGGCAAGTGCAGGTAATGTTCCGGCTGCATGAATTTGGCTGGCTTCTTGATGTTTGGGCTGGGAGCGTTCGCTGACCAGTGTTTGTCCTTAGTACGTGTGTGGGCAGCTTCTGGGGCCTGAGCAACAGGCTGTAATAGCCCTGGAGAGAAGCAAAGGGGCAGGAGCTCCAGTTGTGTATCTCCACCTTGCCAGTATTTATGTGAAGCCAGTCAGGGTCATGGGAAAACGGGATGAAGTTGTTGACTCTGCTTCGCTCTGTTCCCCTTCTGGAGACTAGAAGGAAATCTTGCAGCTGTGAGACAACAGAGCTAGTGAATTTTTGTTCGTGCTGTTGATGGCTTCATGTGAAGCTTATTATATGAAAAATTTCAAAATTTTAAACGATTTGCTGCCTTTCTAATGCGTAAGTGAAAGTGGAAAGAACGTGGGAGGTAGCTGTAAAATGTGACAGTACTCTGTGGAACACCTGAAAAGCCAGGGCGGAGGTTTTGTATTTTTATGGGACTGGGTGAGTGCGTATAAAATACTCCTACATTTGTGGCAAGTTTAAGTGTCGCTTCATTAGACACTTGCCCACTGCCACCTTTCGTTTGCAAGGTATTTATTATCTGTTGTCCTGGATGGTCTCAAACCATTTTTTTCAGGATTATGAAACAAATACTGTAATTGGGGTTAAATAGGAGAAACTGTTGTGTGAAGTGCTGCTTGCTTTTCACTTTAGATGCAGAGGCCAATTCTGTATGTGAGATTGTCCATGTTAAATCTGAGTCTGAAGGCAGGCCAGAAAGAACGTTTCACCTTTGCTGTAGGTAAGTGTGTTTCTATATCTTCAATAGAGGCTACATCTCTGGGTCCCAGCTTGCCTATGCCTTTCCTATAGGGCAATCTGGGAACAGCCAGTAGTGGAACTGGGGAGAGGGTCTTTAAAACCTTACTTCTGGCGGGCAGCATTTTGTAAAATGTATTAAAAATAAAGGCATATATTTGATCAGCTTTGCACCTTTATGGGAATACCCTCATTACATTTTTCCTTTCACAAATTTGGGTGAACTCCAGCATTGGATCTTTGTCAGGTAGTGCTGTCTTGTCTTGTTCAGCTGGTACCTTTCATGTTCCAACCTCTGCTCTGACAACACAGGCCCTTTCCTGAAGTAAACCTTGTCCACCTTTGCGGTGGTGGTTACCCTGATGTGCTTTAGAGTTCAAATAAGAGCTTGGTGCACAAGTTCGCCAGGGTCTAACGGAGCGGATACCAAGCCAATCCTTTCCACTAGGTGGTAGAGAGTTGCAGGACTTCTGCTTGCTGTGTGTTTACAGGAGACAAACTGAGATTTAATTAGCCACCGTAGGTCAACTTGATGTTTATCGGACAAAGAGAAGTGTTATTGGAGGAAAGGAAGCCTTCAAGAGGGGTGAATGGCTAAATGTTTTGTTAATGAACAGCGTATTTGTTTCCTTGGATGTCCATTTACTGTATTAAATTGAGTCTTCTCTGGGGGAAGTGCATGCCAGTCGGTTTGCACTGTCTTAAATTACAGAACTGGTCATTATTTATCTCATTTACAGTGAGCTGTTAACCGTTCCCAAGAGATAACGCTGCCTTTTGTATTCTCGCCTGTTTTTCAGTTCACCAGAACACAGGAAGGACTTTCTGAAGGCAGTGCACTCCATTCTGCGGGATAAACACAGAAGACAGCTTCTCAAAACCGAAAGTTTGCCCTCGTCCCAGCAATACGTTCCTTTTGGTGGAAAAAGATTGTGTGCTCTAAAAGGTGCAAGGCCAGCCATGAACAGGGCAGGTACTGTAGGGCTACAGACTTTCAAGATCCCAGTAACCCCAGCACCGTTGTAGGACTTGTGGTGGTGTCTGTTACTTGTATATTAGGATTAGCATTCTCTCCTGTGTATGTAAAAACTGCTGGTTTTCCATGCTTCACCTCCTTGAGAGCCTTAAATTGCCTCTATTTACCTTGCTTTGCACTCAAGGCTCAGCTTCAGAGCAGTCCTTCTGGCACGGAAGGAAGAAGTGGGATTCCTGTCATTACCGATTGGCTGTGCACTTTAATCTGGAAATGGGTTTCAGCTGAACAAAGCAGAAGCTCGCTGCATATTTCTCGAGAGCACGGACAGAATTTTGAGCTAACCCGAGCACTTTTAAACTAAAATGCACAAGAAAAGTCAGGTCCCCCCAGTTAGTGGCTTGGTTCGAAGAGACAGAAACCTGTGACCTCCATTTTATCCTTTACAGCTCTATTGCTAAAGGGCACGTGCTTCTACTTCTCACTTTTTGAGAAGTGTGCACTCGATACTATTATTTTTGTCATGGCCTGTCCTAAACCATGGATTTTCCTTTTCAGTTGACTTCAGGCAAAAGCAATGAGAAAATCCCAGGGAAAAGCAGGTTTTCATTTTCAGAACACTAAATGATGGAGGGAAGAAACATTTGCTTCCAACTGAAAAGTACATGGCACGGCTGCGTGTTTTGTTCTGGTCTGTTGTTTGCTTTTTTTTTTTTCTGCTCATTAGATCCAGCAATGTAGACAACCAGGCTTTCTGTTCCTCTTCTGTCCTGGGCAGGCCAGACCAATAACATCCGTAGCATGGCTTCTCGCTCGGGGTGTTGCTAGCCTTCTGCCTCAGAGACGCTTGAAATCATAAGGAAGAAGAGGCAGAGGAGGGCCGAAATGCAGCTGCTTGACCACAGTGCTGCTTCCGTCAGCCTGTGGGGCTACTCTGCTGTAGGTGCCAAACCCTCTTCCAGTTTGGCTCGTTGGTGCATTTGCCTGATGAATTCTGCAGAGTTTAACGTCTCCTCTTAGAGTCCAGACCCCTTGCTACAATTTGCAACTGCCCAGCTGTTGTACTTCCTGCCTGTTTTGAGGCTCAGCGATATTAAAACGTGACCCCACCCCAAGCCAGAGTTTAATACCTACGTCCTGAAAGTTCAGTGGAGGGGGACAGACTAGAACCTCGGAGTTCCCTGGCTTGCCATGGAGCTAGCTGCGTGCGCACGCACATAAAGGGCTGGAATGCCTGCAGGTCCTTCAGCTGCAGGATCCGTCCCCTGCTTTGCCTCACAAGCCTCTTGTGAAGAAGTTCCAACACTGAAGTTAGGAATTTGCTAATTGGGCCAGTAATTGGACTGAGTAAGGAACTTGTGTTTTTCTGGTTTCGAGGCTTTTCTAATCTTTTTTCCCCAGGAGGGAGGGAGCGGGAAGGGGAGTAGAGAGCCAGGACAGGGAACTTACCTCCCCATAAATAACAACTGCAGCCCCTTCGGCCCCGAGGCCCCGGGGTTAGCCACTCGGAAAGCCGCAGCGTTGCTTTTACCCGAGACAAAGCCATTCCCCGTAGCAAGGCGTATGGCTAGTCCGTTTTCGTGGCGCGCTGGCAGCAGGGTGCTGCGTGTGAGAAGCCGAGCTGAACAGGTGCACTTTGGCTGGCTGGCTGCCTACCGCTTAGGAGGAACAGTAATTGTGGGCCGTTATCCCAACGGTGGATCTGAGTAGCAGAAAGTCTCTTTTCAGCTGGAGAGAGCCCTGTGCCGAGGAGCTGAGTGAAGCGTGGCTTGCCCGCGGGGAGGATGCCGAATGACTAGGTCATTCGTGGGAGTCTGCCCGCTGCGTGCCTAGCGGTGTTAAATAAAGGGCCACTGGCAGACTAACTTTTTAAAGAGAGTTGTACCGTGTGTAAAAAGCCTGTGGGGTTTTATCTTTGTGTGTGCGCAGTGTCAGCCCCAAGCAAGTCTCTTGGGAGGAGGAGGCGGCGGCTGGCCCGAAACAGGTTTACCATTGACTCAGATGCCGTCTACACGAGCAGCCCTGAAAAAGAGCCCCAGCAGCCCACGCACAGTGGGGACACTGACCGCTGGGTAGAGGAACAGTTTGACCTTGCTCAGTATGAGGAGCACGAGGACATCAAGGAAACGGACATCCTCAGCGATGACGATGAGTACTGCGAGGCCATGAGAGGTGCCGTGGCCGACCGAGACCTTCGGGAGCGGCCATCACGAGCAGCCAGCCGTGCCGGGGAGACCGCCCGCGCCCGGCCATGGACACGCATGCCTCCAGGATGACCCAGCTGAAGAAGCAGGCGGCCTTGACCGGCATCAACGGCGATGTGGAGGGCCACGGCGAGGAGGTCATCTGGGTTAGGCGCGAAGACTTTGTCCCCAGCAGGAAACTGAACACGGAGCTCTAAACCGGTCCCCTTCCCCGCCTGGATGCGTAGGTCTCCCCGTCCCACCTTCCCTCCCTCCCTCCCTCCCGACCCCGCACACCACGTCGAGCTGATCCCGATAGATTGCACACTTGCACACACCATTGCGGCAGCTGAATTGGTCCGAAGCCATGCGGCCACGCTTTAGGCGACTGTAAAACGCTCCAAACCTGGAACGGAATAAGCTTGAGGTCCTGCGTTACGTTACCAAGGGCTTTCACACTATTTTATTTATTCTAAAACAATCAGGGGCTGAAATTAAGTACGGGGAGAACGTCTTCACTGGAAAACAAATTACTCCGGTTGTCTTAACCTACGTGCAGCGAACTAGCTTGAGCAACAGCACAACGAACAGAGGGGTTTACAGCCGTAAAACATCAGTCGTAGGCTCATCTCCTTAATGAGGAAACTGCCTTTTTAATGTGTACAGTTGCAGTATTCTTATTACTTTTCCCTCTTTAATTGTAAGAGAATATACGTGTATTTTAGGAATGCGTGAGGAAAGGTTTGGGATTTATGTTGTGTTGAGTCCTTTTGGTCTGTGGCTGGTCTAATTTAATGTCAACGTTGGAAGCTCTAGTTTTACATAATGTTATAAAGATGCCAAACTCTCTTAAAAGAGATCCAAATTTAACACTTGAAGAAATATTTTTTTGTATTTTACCTGAGGTGCAGGGGCACAAAGGGATAAGAGTTTTACAGCGTTAGCATAGCTCCACGTCTAGGATACGAGTCTAGCTTTTTGCAGAGGGTTAGGAAAGGTGGTTTTATACTGAAATATGAACTGGAAACTCTTATTTAGGTATAACTTTCTTCAGGAAAAGGATTATTGTATATGTTTGAGACTGGAGTTTAGTTAGATAATAAAAAGAATAAAATAAAATGACGTGACGGAATTGCAGCGGACCAAACCGATCCGTGGTGCAAGCTTGCTGGAGGCAGTGTAGCAACGTCACAGATCCGTTTGGTCCGCTCTCTCGGGCAGAGTTTGGGCTTAGGGGACAGGGAATTCATGGCCAAAAAAACTGACCTCATCCACTCTCCTACCGTGGGTGAAACTAGTGTATTCTAATTCCTTTATAAAAGCTTTTCCACTGCAATAGAGTCTGAACAAGTTCTACACGAGCAAACCTCTTCAACATTTTAAATCTTTTATTTAAACATCTGAAACAGGGTAAAATGTGACTGAAATCTTGTAGTTTTTAAGTAGACTTCCAAATACGAAACACAAAATAGCACTTTTTTTTAAGATTTATATAGCTTTTCCCATCTCGGTTTCACCTATAGGAAAAAAGGAAGATTATATGAAATTTTTTTTTTTTTGGGTTTGTATCTATGGATGTTTGACACATCAGTAGGTACTTTGAAAACCTGAAATTTTATAATAGCTTTAGGATTATATTTTATAAAATCCACTCTGACTATATTTTAAAACATAACAAAAAAATTATTCCCCCCAGAAATCCATCACTGTCTGTGTGTCCCATCTAGCATTCTCCCCTTGCCCCCGCCCCCCTTTCTGGTTTCTGGTGCACTATACTTGATCTTACGAAAGCTTTCTCGATTTAACTTTTTGCTATCTTCTGATTTCTTTTCGTAAAAAGCTTTAGAAAAGTTTCTATACCCTTTGTATTATCACACCATTGTTTTATATCATCTACCCGTCAGCTGTGTCCCAGCGTGTTAGAGAAGCGGAGGTTTTAGCTGTCCGATGCCGTACCCAGCGGAATACAGTCAGCGCTGAAATACCGGAAAGCCGGTACTGGGAAGGTACCGTTGTTCTTGTACATAATGTCATGACATGTCTATGTCAAAGGTTCTTATATATTTCTTTTATAAGCTGAAAGAAGGTCTATTTTTATGTTTTTAGTTCTATGAATGGAATGTTGTAAATGCCTGTCAGAAATAAAATGCTGGAAAAAAATTCCAAGAGAGTGGTGTGTGTACCTGTGCGCTCCGAGGCAGGCGTCTCCCAGCAGAGGCAAGCAAGGGAGCAAGTCCTGCAGCCGGCGAAGCTGTTCGGATCCCTCTCCTGGCTTTAACAACCTATAGGGAGTCTCCTTAATAGCAAGGTTTCTACCCGTAGCCGTGTGTACCCTCTGTCGTGTGCGGATATTCCCTTAAAACGGGTTCAGCCTGTCCTGGCTCTGCTTTTTGGTGGGATCTGAGCTCTGGGGTAAGTGTTGTCTCCTTTGGCCAGCGCGCGCTGAGCTCCAACCTGTCCTGCATGGAAGGCAGGGCCGAGCTTGTTGCCCTCGCTTCTCTTCTGCTGAAACCTCACTTTTCTTTATTTATTTCCCCAGTGGAAGGTCCGAGCCCAGAGCCTTGCCTGTTGGAGGATGGAAAACAAGGCAGGAGATCAAATGCCAGATGCAGGTATTCGCCTGGAGTGGCTGTTGCTGTGCGCCTTGGCATGCAACGAAGCTTTCCTTCAGCGGGAACGCTGACGGTAAAGCAGCATGTTCACATCTCTAACTGGCGGCGCCGTTCCCTGGATGCGTGAAACGGCATCAGCCTCTGCCGAAACATGAGTGCAAAGCGTGCTAGTGCCTGCTTGTGTGCTCAGCAGAACACCACTGTGAACCGTTACGAGCTTCTGGTTAAAACACCACAACCGTTCTTTAGGTGGGCTCACGTGTTCATCTCCTCCGCAGTTCAGTGTGTACCAGCTCCTGCAGTGTTTTCCAGCAACTGGCTGCAGCTTTCGGATTGCGTACGGACCTGCTTAAGGAGCTCGTCCTACTGCAGCAGCATCGTGCCTTGCAGGAAAAACTCGTGTTCCTTAGCTCATTTGTGACATATCAAGCCTTACACAGGAAGGGTGATAGTTGGAAAGTGTGGAACTGTGGAGTAGTTCTTGTCTTCTCACCTGCCAGTTGCTGTAGCTCAGGGAAGGCTCAGCCCATATTTTGTGGAAGTGAGAGTGGCTGTTTTCTTTGTCAGGTCCATAACTAGTCACTCCCGTTTCTTTTACCATGCTGGTCATAAGGAACCTTAAGTGTGTATTCTAAAAAGAGTGAGGAAAAAAGTAGGGAATTCCAGAAGAATTCCAATTACGTTGGAAGAGCTCTCCAGTCTCGCCGTGGCCAGTTGTTTTGCCAAACCCCCTCCCTTTGGGGTGCTGAATTTTAGGTCGAACGTAAGGAGTGCGCCGTGGCTTGGTGTTTTGTGCAGCCTGGGCAGGAGCTTCCCCGGCCCAGGGGTGAGACCCTGGCTCCCACCGCTTTCCTTTAGGTGGAACTGGGACCAGTGATGTACAGGCAGATGGGTTCTGCATGTGGATTCTGGCAGATCGTCCCTAAAAGGTGGGCTGGTGGGCGTTAGGGAACTGGGTTAGTACAACACAAGGTACAGGTGTTGCCAGAGCTGCAAGAAGAGCCCCGCACGGCCCCGTGGTCTCACCCGCAGTAGAACAGCAGCGGGGAAAGCACAGGCACCCTGTAGCATGGAGGTTCAGGAAGTGCTTTTCTTCACTCTGAGTTTTACCAGGCAGTTAGTTTTTGTGGTCTTCTCTGGCAGACCTGCTTTGCTTGCACCGGCTTTGGGACAAACCAGGAAACACTTTGTTTCTGAGACTATTGTCTCTGCAAATAACAGGTCCAGAACGTGACCCTGCTCCCTGCCTGTGTCTGTTTTAAATGTTGCCAGATAATTGTGGGGGCAGTGCTTCCCTCAGCTCACGTTCCTGCCTTTGGCAACTTGCTTTCCTTCTCTTCCAATTTTATTCCTAACCATTGCTGAGGTACTTCTGCTGGTTACTCGACTTCTCTTTTTTAGTCCTTTCAATTACAAGACCTGTCTCGGATGTTGATTGAAGACTCTCAGGGTGTTGGTATTGGCGAAGGAATCCAATTCAGCATTGTGGAAGCTTGCTGCGGATCTGCCTTATTCTGGGGGAAAATGAGGGGAAAGAAATTCTGTGAAAAGTTGCTTCCTGTTTCTCTTTTCCTTCAGCCACATCTTGTTAATAATAGATGGTACCTCTGCGCTGTATGTGGGCGTGAGCTCGGGCAGGTTTTTGCAGTGGTGAAATCCTACAGCAGCCTTAGGGCCTGGGCAAATCGCTCCCGTTTTAAGTCTGACGAAGGAAGGCAAGTTGGAGGAGCACACCCGGGGTCGTGCAGCAAGCCTGTGGTACCCGTGAAAGGCTTACGGAAGGCTGCGTAGCCGTTAGTGCAGACAATGTTTCCTTTTCGTTGGTGTGATCAGCTGCAGCAAGGCATCCTTGCTTGTGGCAGGGGAAAGAAGAGGTCGGCAAGACAGCCTTGCTGGTGGCAGGGGAAGGAAGTGATCGGAAGAGCCGCACAGGCACCTGGACTTTGTTTGTCCGTAAGCACTGAGCTTTCTCCTTTCAGTTCTGTGTTTCCAATCAATTTAATAAGAGGGGGAGGGAGGGATGATGGTGAATCAGGGAATAATTGTACCCAAAGGAAGTGTTTTCTGTGTGACCTTCAAAATAAATCCGTGGCTTCTGGGACTGTTTCCCCCATGCACTAATGTTACAGGTGATGCCCGCTGTACACAGCCTCAGGGGAACACGCCTCGGTGAGCCTGGAAGGAGAAGGGCTTGTGCAGGATCCATCCTTGGCGCGGTCTTAGGAGAAAGCTCTGAGCAGCCTGGTCTGATCCCGGAGCTGGCCCTGCTTGGGCAGGAGGTTGGGATGGAGACCTTACTCAGGGGCCTTCCCACCTGCGTGACCCTGCGATGCTGTGACTCCTCCTCCGCACCCCTCCATACCCGCTCACACGGGATAAGTTTCTGCTGGTTTGTTGGGTTTTTCCCAGTCAGGAACATACGGCAAAATATATCTTGAATTTTGTGTCAAAAGATGAAAACGTCGCAGTGCTCAAACAGCACCCACAGACATATGTCTAGGGAAGAAGAATACAGCAAACATTCAGGATACTTCGACCTCTACGCTCCCAGGTCCTAAACACAGGCCCGCAGTGCTGGTTTGGGGTGTACGACCTTAAGGGGCTGC